CCTCCCGCCAGCTCCTTCCCCTCCCGGCTCGCCATGCTGCCGAGCCCCCTCCGACCCCACCGCCGGCTCTGCGGGGTCTCACCCCAAATGCACAGGGTTGGGACGGCACCCAGCACCTGCTTCCTCGATGGCGGCACCCTGAGGCATCCGAGAGCCCCTTGCAGCCAAGACCACACCATGTTACAGCCCCTTCCCATGGCCGGAGAGTAATTCCTGGAGGAAAGCCGCCCCTTCCAGCCCAAAGCCCCTGCCCGGGGTAAATCCCACCCGCAAGCAGCTGGGTTTTTCCCAATCTCTGGATGAGAAATTCTCCTTTCTGCCAATGTTGGTGCAAAGCAAATCCATCCGCCTCCCTGAAGTCTTGGTGGGGAGGATGGGCTCCATCACTCGGGGAAAGTAAAGCCGGTCTTGCCCTGCACAGACCCCTGCTTCTGCCAGACTCGTCCCCACTCGTGGACACCATCCACCTGTGTAGGGGACACCATGCATCATGTCTTGGCCCTTGGACCGCAGTCGGTCCTGGCCACGGTGTCCCCCAGGGTGCTGAGCCAGCCCGTGGGCTCCACGTCCCCCACGTACCGTCGCTGCAATGCGCCCGTGGCCATTGCGGGACACAGCCGGGGACAACCGTGCCTGCATCCCGGCGGGGTCACCGCCAGCACCCCAAACCTCTCGGCCGAGGGATCAAACCCGCTACCGGCTTGGCAGGGTGGCGGTGGCTCACGTCCAGCCCTGCAGCTGCCGGCAGGGATCCGGGGCTCCCCACGTGCCTCTGGCCCCGGGGCATGCCATTCCCATGCTCGGCGCCAGATCTCCAGCCCTGCCCATCTCCCAGCTATTGCTTGCTTGCTCAAAAACCCGACTCCTCAGGTGGGAGCCAAGTGGTCGGAAAAACTCTGGCCCCGCGTGCTGCCGAAGATGCATTGGCAGCGATGCGCGCGGCATCGCCCCCTCCCCGACCTCGCCGGCTGCGATGGGAAACACGGTCCCTGGGGCAGGAAGGGACCCTTGGAGCGGGGGAAATATAAGGTGGGAATACCTGGAGCGAGGATCACGGCATGTTTGTGCAACGGAGCAAACCGGACCCGCTGCACCGGCAAATCTCTACTGGGGAGAGCCTCAGCGCGGGTCTTGTCCCCACCGTGGGTGACGAACACTGAGCAGGATTGGGAAGAAATGATAATGTATTTTCTAGCTGGGTTCTGTCCTCTGAAAAGGACAAAGGGAGAGGTTACCCGCTGCCAAACCTGCAGCGGAAAAATATCCCCCGCTCCCAAAGCGCCCTCGCTCCCAGGGTCAGGTATTCACGGGGGCTGCTGGAGGAGCCGGGCAGTAACCCCGGGCTTGACCCACCCCAGGTTCCCCAGCCTGC